TGTCCCTAAGACCTAGAAGCTAATAGAGTTTGGATATATATTGAACCCAAGTGAATGTCTCAGACTTCATGTCTGAAGACCGGCTTCCTCCTGGACACCTTGACACTTTTGGAACCCAGCAACTTCCCTCTGCTTCAATGATTGGGCCAGTCTCCCTTCTCTTATAGGTTCTTCCCTTCCCCTTTCTAGAGGACAAAATCTGGAGGTGGCTGTCTTCAAGAAGTTGTGGCCTTCTACCTGGCCACAGCCTCCCCCAAGGGAGGGGATCCTTACTACCTGCTTAGATCAGGTTTTCAAAAAAGATACAGGGAGAACATAAATTAACACAACAACTCCCCTGCTACAGTCTATTAATTCCACTCTACTACGAGTTACTCACTCCCTCGTGTAGACCCTCATTGCTTTTCTCTAGGACTACTCTGTCTCAGCCTCCTTGCTGGTCGCCTAGAACAACCATCTTCTACAGAGCCAGTGCGTCTTTCTAAGATGCTAATTTGGTTGCGTCTCTCCCCTAGTTAAGACTCTTCCATGGCTCCCCACAGCTCTCAGCTCAAACCACTGAGCACGGCTTGGCTCCTGCTTGCTGCCCCAGTTCAGGACCCCAAGCCCCAATATCACCCAACACAGCTCCCTGGGATGTTCCAGCATCTATTAGCAGGAGTTGTTTCTTCTTCCTGGAATACCCTCTTCCCCATTTTCTCCTTCTTCTGGCTAACTCTTACTTGTACAGGCAGGCCTCCTGTTTTGAAAATTTTTATTTTATATTGGAGTATAGTTGATTAACAATGATGTGTTAGTCACAGTTTTACAGCAAAGTGATTCAGTTATACCCATACAAGTTCCCATTCTTTTTCAAATTCTTTTCCCATTTAGGTTATTACAGAATGTTGAGCTGAGTTTCCTGTGCTCTACCATAGGTTCTCGTCTGTTATCTATATTAAATGTAGTAGTGTGTACATGTCAATCCCAAACTCCCAATCTATAGTTCTCCCCACGCCCTTTCCCCCTAGTAACCATAAATTCGTTCTCTAACTCTGTGAGTGTTTCTGTTTTGTAAGTAAGTTCATCTGTATCATTTTTTTAGATTCTGCATATAAGTGATATCACATGATAATCTGTCTTTGTATGATAATCTCCAGGTCCATTCCTGTTGCTGCAAATGGCATTATTTCATTCTTTTTAATGGCTGAGTAATATTCCATTGTATATATGTACCACATCTTTATCCATTCCTCTGTTGATGAAACTTTAGGTTGCTTCCATGTCTTGGCTCTTGTAAACAGTGCTGCAGTGAACATTGGGGGTACATGTATCCTTTTGAACCACCGTTTTCTCCGGATATATACCCAGGAGTGGATTGCTGAATCATATGGTAGCTCTATTCTTAGTTCTTTAAGGAACCTCCATATTGTTCTCCATAGTGGCTGTATCAACTTACATTCTCACCAACAGTGCAGGAGGGTTCTCTCCTCTCCACACCCTCTCCAGCATTTACTGTTCGTAAACTTTTTGATGATGGCCATTCTGACAGGTGTGAGGCGATATCTCATTGTGGTTTTGATTTGCATTTCTCTAATACTTAGTGATGTTGAGCATCTTTTCATGTGCCTCTTGGCCATCTGTATGTCTTCCTTGGAGAAGTACAAGCAGACCTCATTTTCTTGTGCTTCACTTTATTGAACTTTGTAGATGATGAGTTTTTTACAAATTGGTGTTTGGCAGCCCTGCATCAAGCAAGTCTGTTGGTGCTATTTGTCCAATAGCATTTGTCAGTTCGTGTCTCTGTGTCATATTTTGATAATTTTCACAATATTTCAAACATTTACATTATCATTATACTTGTTACAGTGATCTGTGATAATAAGTGATCTTTGATGATGTTACTATTGTAATTGTTTTGGGGTGGCACAAAACGTGCCCCTGTAAGTCAGAGAACTTAATCCATAAATGCTGTGTGTGTTCTGACTGCTCCACTGACCAGCTGTTTCCCCATCTCTTTCCCTCTCCTTTAGCCTCCCTATTCTCTGAGACACAACAATATTGAAATCGGGCCAATTAATAACCCTACAATGGCCTCTAAGTATTCAAGTGAAAGGAAGAGTCAATTGATGAGACAAAGTTTATTGTTGTCTTATTTTAAGAAATTGCCACAGGGACTTCCCTGGTGGCGCAGTGGTTAAGAATCCGCCTGTCAATGCAGGGGACATGGGTTCGAGCCCTCGTCCAGGAAGATCCCACATGCCACAGAGCAATTAAGCCCGTGTGCCACAACTACTGAGCCCACGTGCCACGACTACTGAAACCCGTGCGCCTAGAGCCCGTGCTCCGCAACAAGAGAGGCCACTGCAATAAGTCCGCTCAGGGCAACGAAGAGTAGTCCCCACTCGCCGCAACTAGAGAAAGCCTGCATGCAGCAACGAAGACCCAACACAGCCAACAATAAATAAATAAATAAAAAGAAATGTCCACAGCTACCCAAGCCTTCAGCACCCACCACCCTGATCAGTCAGCAGCCATCATCATGGAGGCAAGATCCTCCTCCAGCAAAGAGATTACAACTCACTGAAGGCTCAAATGATGGCCAGCATTTTTTAGCAATAAAATATTTTTAAATTAAGGCATGTACATTTTTTAAACATAATGCTATTGCACACTTAATAGACTACAATATAGTGTAAACATAACTTTTACATGCACTGGGAAACCAAAAAATTCATGTGACTTGGTTTATTTATTTTTTATTTATTTACTTTTTAATAAATTTATTTATTTATTTTTGGCTGCGTTGGGTCTTCGCTGCTGCGCGTGGGCTTTCTCTAGTTGCGGCGAGCAGGGGCTTTTCTTCGTTGCGGTGCACGGCCTTCTCATTGCGGTGGCTTCTCTTGTTGCGGAGCACTGGCTCTAGGCACGTGGGCTTCAGTAGTTGCGGCGTGTAGACTCAGTAGTTGTGGCTTGAGGGCTGTAGAGTGCAGGCTCAGTAGTTGTGGCGCACGGGCTTAGTTGCTCCACGGCATGTGAGATCTTCCCAGACCAGGGCTCGAACCCGTGCCCCCTGCATTGGCAGGTGGATCCTTAACCACTGCGCCACCAGGGAAGTCCGTGACTTGCTTTCTTTGATATTCGCTTTATCGTGGTGGTCTGAAACTGAACCTGCGATATCTCTGAGGTATACCTGTATGTTAAGATTAAGCTGGTGGGACAAGCATACAATTACATGCCTTGCGCTACAATGCAGCAGGAAGGACACAAGGCAACATGAGACGTCATCTTGCCAAAAAAAATCAAATCTAAATGTCATCAAACCTCTAGATCTAACTACCAGTTTATAGGAAATATGGGGGACAGAAGAATAACTTAAATGATACCACGAAGAAACAATCAGACAAATACTCCAGAATGGGGGAATTTCATAGGACAGATGACCTGGTTCCACTGACAAAGAACAAGCAAAAGTGGAGGAGGGAGAGAGGCCTAACATTAAAGAGAGACTTAAGAGACACATCAACCGCATGCAATGTGTGGACCTGGTTTGTATCCTGATTTGAACAAACCAGTTGTAAAAAAAGTACTATGAGACAATCAGGGAAGTTTAAACATTGACCAAGTATCTACCTGGTGGTAGTAAGGAATTACTATTGAGATAGGCTGGGACCTGGGACCCTCTATGGGAGTGCTTTCAATTGCACCTGGGCAAATGTCTCCTTGAGCAACAGAAGACAAAGAACCTATAAGGGGCTAAAAATAACTGCACACATGAGCAGTTGGGACAATTATGAACAATAAGATACAAAAAGGCCACAAACCAACTGCCACTTCTGAGGTGCTGGGAGCAAAAGCAGGGTACTACGCATGATCCTCACACACAGCACCACCAAGGGATGGGCACACCATCTAAGTCACCCCTCCAGCCCGACCCACTGATCCACGCCTACCCTCATCCCATTTAAAGAGCCAGCCCTCCTCCTTGGAGCGCAAGCAAGGGTACCTGTTTCTTGTTTTCCTCCCTCGTGCTGCAGCACAAGCCCCAGTAAAGTCTTGCCTGAATTTCTCATCTGGTCTCTTATGAATTTCTGTTGATTGAAGAGTCCAGGGATCCCAGGTTGGCAACATTATTATTTTTTTAGATCTGCTATGGTATTATCATTGGGTTAGCAAAAGAGAATCCTTATCTTTTAGAGACATATACTAAAGTGTTTATGGGCAAAATGATATGATCTCTGGACCTGACTTTAAAATAATCCATCGGGGTTGGGGTGGGGGTACAGTAGAAGTAAGATTGGCCGTGAGTTCATAACTGCTGTTGCTGGAGGATGGGTACTGGGGGTTCCTTACACTATTCTCTCTACTTTTATTTATGTTTGTCAATTTCCATAATGAAAGAAGAGATGAAGCCTGCGTCACCTCCTCCCACTTTCCTCTCACTTTCCTCAGAGGGTTAGATCCCTCCTCTGCGCTTGTCAAGCCACCTAACACAATGAACGGCAGTCCAGTGGCTTACTTCTCCCTCTTGAGGGCAGGGTGGCCTGGGGTCCCCTCTATCTCCATGGGACATGGTTTCCGGCATAAATGAGCAGATGACTCTTAGTCTTGATTCATTTGTTGTCAAGCATCTCGATCTCCAACAAGCAGTTATGTTCCTTTGATGGCAAATGCCTGACATTTTATACGGTATGTTTGTTCTGCTGGGGTGGGGCAACATGAAAGCTTCAAAAGTAGTTATTTGCCTGTCATTGACTGGGGTTGAGTGAGTCTCTTGGAGAATCCAGTTGCTGGCTGTACCAACATTCTCTGAGGAACTGGCAGGACTGGTGCTGCTTCCTACTTGAGAGTCCAAAGTCCTGGCAGGTACAGCTCCTTGGGCAAACCCTGCTCACACCCTGACGGGCAAAGGAAGAAAAGCTAGAGGAGCCAAAGGCCTCCAGTGTCTGGGACACTCAGCGACAGGACAGGAATTCTGCTCTGGCACGTGGCCACCAACACCTAGTTGGGAAGCCTGTGGCTTGAACACTTGCTCCGGGAGAACCTGATGGCTCCCATGAGGCGAGCCCCCAGGATGAGACTGCCCGAGCTGCTGATTTTCCTGGCCCACTGGGGAGTCACCAAGGCTGGACAAGGTAGGCACTGAGAATGCCTGTGATCTCTGTTTGGTACTATGAACTCAGGATCTAGGGCTGCTGGAAAGTGCTCACAGAAAGCTGAAAATGCTGATAAAACTAGCAAGGCAGGGAGCTAGGCTGGGGAGGCTGGGTGAGAGAGTTAGTGGGTGGTGGAGGTGCTGTTTGAGCCTGAGATTTTAAGTGGAGGTGACAGCTGGCCACAGGAGGGACATTGACATTGTTCAGAGGTGTGGGTATGTAAAAGCCGGCCAGCTGGTAGAGGTAGAAGGTGGCAGGAAGATTCAAGAATTCATTCAAAAAATATTGGTTGAGTAGCTCTCAAATCTAGTATTTTATTCAAACTCTGTTGAGGCATTTTACTAACCTCATTCCCTTTTTTTAAAAAAAATTTATTTATTTATTTATTTATTTATGCTGGGTCTTAGTTGTGGCAGGTGGGCTCCTTAGTTGCAGCTCGCAGGCTTCCTTAGTTGCAGCATGCTGGCTCCTTAGTTGTGGCACGTGAACTCTTAGTTGCAGCATGCATGTGGGATCTAGTTCTCTGACCAGGGGTCGAACCCCAGGCCCCCTGCATTGGGAATGCAGAGTCTTAACCACTGCACCACCAGGGAAGTCCCCTCATTCCCTTTTTGACCTGTAAAACACTTTAGAATTTCCTAACAGAGTTTACTCTTGTTTAGAAATTTGCAAGGGCTTCTTCTCTGCAAATGCCACCGGCAGATTATAAGTTTGGCAACAATGTAGGTCTTAGTACCACCAGACTTTGACCTACATCATTCATGGTATAAAGTTAACCCTTGCAAGATAACTCCTATCTCTCTCTTAAAACAAAATCAGTTAGCCAGACTCATCAAGGAAAAAAAGGAGAAGACTCAAATCAATAGAATTAGAAATGAAAAAGGAGAAGTAACAACTGACACTGCAGAAATACAAAGGATCATGAGAGATTACCACAAGCAACTATATGTCAATAAAATGGACAACCTGGAAGAAATGGACAAATTCTTAGAAAAACACAACCTTCCAAGACTGAACCAGGAAGAAATAGAAAATATAAAAAGACCAATCACAAGCACTGAAATTGAAACTGTGATTAAAAATCTTCCAACAAACAAAAGCCCAGGACCAGATGGCTTCACAGGCGAATCCCATCAAACATTTAGAGAAGAGCTAACACCTATCCTTCTCAAACTCTTCCAAAATATAGCAGAGGGAGAAACACTCCCAAACTCATTCTATGAGGCCACCATCACCCTGATACCAAAAACAGACAAAGATGCCACACAAAAAAGAAAACTACAGGGCAGTATCACTGATGAACATAGATGCAAAAATCTGCAACAAAATACTAGCAAACAGAATCCAACAGCACATTAAAAGGATCATATACCATGATCAAGTGGGATTTATCCCAGGGATGCAAGGGTTATTCAATATACGCAAAACAGTCAATGTGATACACCATATTAACAAACTGAAGGAGAAAAACCATATGATCATCTGAATAGATGCAGAAAAAGCTTTTGACAAAATTCAACACCTATTTATGATAAAAACCCTCCAGAAGGTAGGATAGAGGGAACTTACCTCAACATAATAAAGGTCATATATGACAAACCCACATCCAACATCCTTCTCAATGGTGAAAAACTGAAACCATTTCCTCTAAAATCAGGAACAAGACAAGGTTGCCCACTCTCACCACTATTATTCAACATAGTTTGGAATTTTTAGCCACAACAATCAGAGAAGAAAAAGAAATAAAAGGAATCCAAATCCGAAAAGAAGAAGTAAAACTGTCATTGTTTGCAGATGACATGATACTATACATAGAGAATCCTAAAGATGCTACAAGAAAACTATTAGAGCTAATCAATGAATTTGGTAAAGTAGCAGGATACAAAATTAATGCACAATCTCTTGCATTCCTATATACTAATGATGAAAAATCTGAAAGAGA